AAGAACAACTAAATCAACAAAGAAAATTACGACACGAAGCAAATAAGGAAACTGACAAAATCAAATGGAAAGAATATTATGAAACCAACAAAGACAACCTCAATGCAAAAAAGAAGGAGTATCGCAACCAGAATAAGGATAAATTACAAGAATATCACAAGGAATATAACCAAAAAATACATCATTGTCCATTATGCGGTTATGATGTCAAACTTTATAAGAAAACACAACACGAACAATCCTTAACGCATCAGAACAACCTAAAACAACAACAGAACCCAGAACAAACAGAACAAACAACTGAACAGAACAAACCATTTGAACTACATAAAATCAAACCTTTAATACCTTAAAAACGAATGAACCAGACCTTGCCCATAATATGTCTACAAAAGTTGTGATAAAATTTATTGTAAAATAATTTATCATAATTTTTGGAATAATATTTTTGAAAATTTATTTTATATGTTTTTGTAAAATTTATTTTTTTATTTTTTTTGTAAAATTTATTTTTTAAAATTTTGTAAAATTTATTTTTAAAAATATATATTTTAAAATATGGATGAACTTACTAGGAAATTACCTGCTTTAAAATGTTGATTTTTGAAAATGTGCTTTTTGAGGCGCTGTTTCAAAATGTTGCTAAAAGTGTAGGGAGGACCCTAGGATTTTTTATAGAAAAAAGACGGGCAAGGTCTAGTCTAACTGGGGGGGGGTTGGGACAGGGAGAAAATGACCGCAACTCAATGCTGGCAGGCTGTTTCGAGGGGCAGTTGCTTGCTCAGGTTGAGGCTCATTGTCTTTGGGCCACGCGCCAGACCCTAAACAAAAGATATCCTGCATCCATGAACCAACCGAAAGCCAACACTCGACACAACCAAACCTACTCCAAGCGGGCTGCTCTAATCCACTCCAAACCAATCAACAAGCCAACATGCGCCCTTACTCGGGAGCATGTTAGAAGGGTATCGCGCGTTGATTTGGGTGATTGTCTTCTCAGGCATCGTTGCATGACAGGAGCATTGTCCATTGTTCAAAGTCAACCGTTCATCCTCACGCCAGATGGTAGTTCCCTTGTTGTATTTGTGTCTCATTAGGAATTCCGGATAGCACCCTCGGGTTCCTGCTTGCATTTTCCACAGCTCGGACTGTGGATATCAGTGGAGCCAGGAAACGACTCAGACGAACGTCAGCTTTTTGGAGGGAATCCAAAGCGAGGTGGTCATGGACCTGCGGGCTTGGGTGGGCAAAATGGTGGCCTGCCCCCGCACCACGGACCTGGACAAAGCTCTGGACACCTGGAGCCACGCAGAGCTCTCTGGCTCGGAGAACATGGGAAGTTCGGATCGGTTTTGAACATATCTGGCATGAACAGGTTCTGGCAAATGTTCGGAACGGTCAAGGTTGATGTGGATAGGCTACCCCGCAAATTGCTGTCAACATCCAGCGCATGGTTTGATACCTTGTGAGATTGAAGGTATGCTCAGCAAATGGAGGCCTTGAGCCTGCGTGCTTGCTCTCTCAGGGCCGGGTGTAGAATCAGAGACCCCCTTTTGGAATGGTGCTCCAGAATGAGAGTCCAATTCAAAGGAGCATCCTTGTTGCATTCAGTAAACACCCATTTGTTTCGCGGAAGCCATTTCGAGGCTGGCTCGGCTGGAGCAGGGCTGGCCGGCGATGCGGGAGATTTGGCTTAGCTGGATGCAGATGGGGCGAAGGGAGTGCTTCACCATCCGCGCCAAGAGCCAAGAAGAGGCCCTCCGGGAGCAACGCGGGATTCGAAGCCCGAAGATCGGGTTTCAATTCATTGGCTCACAGTGTAGAGGGCTGAAACTGATCCTGTATCAAATCGTACCGGACCCCCGCCATCTTGGATCACCAGGCATGTCACTGTAGCCACACGGAGAGATGGACCAGCGCAAATCGTGGCGAGGCTCCACGGAGATGCTTCCTTTTTGTGGAACCGTTGTGAGCGAAAGCTCCTTCCAAGTTGCTAAGTAGCCCTCGGGAAGGCGCGTTCCTTTCCGGCATGGAGAGACGCTCTGACTGAATGACTTGGGCCCATTTTCATGAACTGTGGTGATAAGACTCAACCTGGGCGGCGTGGAAAAGACCCTCGACTCTTTTCAGGCTTTGTGATGGATCGGATAGGCGGAGCACGCCCTGCTCTCGGCGGAGAACGGCTTCCAGGAAGGGGGCAGAGCGGAGGGAGTAGGATCAGATTGACGACCTCACAAACCGTCACTCAAGGAGTCTGCTTTTGGGTGACCCCTTTGGTTCAGTGACCCCGGATCAGACACGGACAGCTGGATAGGTGCACATGGCTCGATCTCCAGCGAGTGTGCTGGGATTCGCGGGCCCACAAATCAGGTTGGTCCCGAACCCGTGCCACGGGCAGAACACTTCACTACATGTAGTTTCCATCATCTTGGCCATCCATCCCAGCAAGCACTCCACCTCGAAAGCCACAGAAATGGTTTGTCATACAGTTCTATTCGCCCATGACAATGGGTGTCCTAAGATTCCCAGCTCCAGTTGGTTGTCCGGACTAGTCGACAAAAGACAAACCTGAAAAGTTTCTGTATGGGATTGACGAACCTCTCGTGCGCGGTCACTGAGGTTTCATAGGCATTTCGGAAGTAGTTCTCATACGCTGGTTGTGAACCACGCGTGCAAACAGGGCCATTCAAAGAGCCACTTGTGTATATTGTGTTTTTTCTTCAGCAATTAGCGATTTTCCGGTGAAGTGCCCGTGTCCTTTTGGTTTGCTCGGCTTTTGCCTGCAATTTTGGGAACTTCTTGGAACAGTCTCTCTAGCACACTTGCCTACCAGTCCCAGCCATCCAAATTTGGAGTGGACTTCCTTCTAGTGGAGACAGGGGCCCAAACCGGAGCTGATTTCATTTGACAGCCCATGTTAATCATTCTTCGGTCCTGGTCACCGAAGAGGGCTCCAAGCCCGGCTCAGACGCCGAAAGCCCAGCGAGCGCAGGACATGCGGACCGCGCGGGAGGCGCGCGCGGCTCGGCGCGCGGCGGCGGCGGCGGAGAAGGCGCAGCGCCGGGCGCTGCGGACGCAGCGGGCTGCGTTGCGCAGGGCGAGCAGCGCCCGGCGCAAGGAGGACGTGACGGAAAGACGCGAGTGCGAGTTGACCGAGTTGACGAGTTCAGTGGGTGTCACAAGGTGTCGCAAACATGGCTTATTGCTTTCGGTTCCGGACGGAGGCAAGAAGAATGGAGAGGGTTGAAGGGGTGTAAGGGAAAGCAGGGATGGAAGAGGAGGTAAAGACAGTGAAGAGGATGGAGGGAGGTCGTGGTCGAGGCTGGGTCATGTTGGATTGCCCACATGGTGCGAGACTGACATTTCTTTTCATCGAGGTGTTGACATACCGATGAATTCAGGCATTGATCCATTGATCCATTGAGACAGTGATCTGAGGGCACACATCCCATTGCATTCCGGCTTCTGTATCTAGTGCAGGAAGCATCACAACGGGTAACATAAGGGCGCATAAACGCAGCGAGGCATCAACACACCAATACATCTATCAGCGCATCAATTTGATGACGGGATCTGTTTTTACATGGCGACCTGCATGATTGTCTACACATGGTTATCTACAGCATGCAGCATCAGCGCAGACTCCGTTCCAGGAGATTGTTGCTGGGAGGCTGCTACTTGGCAATGTTCAGTTTGATGCGCTGGCTTTGCGGTTTTGAACATTTGACAGGCATGACATCAATTGATGGCAGGGCGCTGACATCTTGCTGCTGAAAAAAACTCCCAGCCACATACTAGCAAATGCCCGGCGCATTGTGACACATCAAGTCTGTCGTTCCTTCCCAATCCTTTCATCATGGCAGGTTCTTCAGTTCAAAGTGCCTTCCACGAAGCTGTGCTCCGAAAAATTCTTTGGCAGGCGTTTTTGCAGGCTTCGGACGTCCCTTGTTCCTTGGTCTCGAGTTGCTGGCTCCTGGCTCTGAACGGCTCTTTCCGCAATGTGTGCCAGTGCCTTTGGTTTGCCGGTTTGGGACAGCTTCCTGCGAGCAGTCCGGTGAGCTTATTTTAGTGGTACAGCTTCTCGAAAGTCCATTCCAACTGCGACTGCTGGCGGGCTTCTGCGTTTCTTCAAGCACGGCCAGCCTTTTGCAACCACTACGGGGCTCAGTTTGGAATGAGCTACAACATGCCACAATTTAGATGCTCCGGATTTGGCCGCAATCTCAAGGTGCATATTTAAAGTCAATGTATACCTCCCCCCTGCTATCAACAGCGTTAACGATTGATTCTTTTCTGCGACGAGAGCCACTTTTGGGCCCATAGATTCCCATGGACCCCGTAGAATCCACCTTTGAACTCTCTTTTGAAAGCTACAGGAAAACAGAAGGGAAATCCTGAGGCAGCGCCTGCTGCCCCTGGCGGAGGCCTGCGCTGTGCAGGTGGACCTGCGCCAGCAGCGGGAGAAAGCCAAGGGAGCCAAGCGGAGCGGGCCCAAAGAGCGCGGCAACGGCAAGCGCAGAAAAGCTTGGGGCGGTCAGGACTCTTTGCAGGACTCTTTGCGGGACCAAAAAGAAAAGCATGGTTTGGGGCCGGCGTTGCTTCTGATTTCCCCTTGTTAGGTTGGAGCAGGCAGTCGGAATAATTGGGACGGCGGCATCTTGCAAGAATGAGATGATGTGTCAACATATGCGTTGTGGTGGTTTACCTTGTCGAGGCTGGCAAATCCTGCGCTATTGGGCTTGTAATTTCACTGTTTGCCTTGCTTCTCAGCGTCATTTCCCGGCAACGCCAGCAAGTCATCTCCCCAGGGCTCAATAACAGGCGTGCCAGCCTGAGTTGACTCAGTCAACTTGGCCCTAAAGAGGTACTCGCTGCCTTGGACATGTGCTCAAGCAGTTTGGGTTACAGATGACACCCAGTCGACACCTGCTAGGTGTTCTTGTCTCAAGTCGTCTCACTGGCACCGCCATTCGCTGCCCGTCTCCTTGCGACGTCCGCAGGTTCCCAGCGACGACAAGTCCGTGGCGCCGCCATTGCTGAGCCACGGCCCTGGTTCAACGGACCGGGCTTGCCCGCGCCTCTGTCCGCTTTGAAGACTTCCTGGAGCACAGGGTCTCCCTTCTTTGGGGGAACACGTGCTGGACCAGCCAACCACAATGCCAAGCCAATACTTGACCCAATACAACATCTAGGATGTGTCGGGACGACTCTCGGCCGTGCCAAGTACTGAGAACAAAACATGACATGCCTCGGTTCCCGTCCGTTCGTGTTTTTTGAAGAGGAGGTCCCGAGTTGCAACGCATTCTCCATGCGGCGCCACATCCAACCCTGTGGTGCGATGGACGCTGATAAGCCAGCACCGATGCTACAAGTTCAGCTCCATTCAAACACAAGTCCTTCCAGACATGGCTTGGATTTTGGTTGCGTATTGTCCCAATTACAAGCGTGCGAACATGCTGATCATGCCTCGAGGCGCCGGGGTGCTCTCCACTGTGCCCATTGCCTCCCAGCAAATGGCACCTCGGCACGCAAACTGTTGCTGCGAGTCAGAGACTTGATTGCCTTTTCAAAGTTTGCGTGTTTGAAAATGGCTGATCTGCTTGAAATGTTGCCCTTGTTGTTTAAGTTGGTTGACTTTGGGGCTTGCTTTACTGTTTTTTTCTTGACTGTGGAATTGACTGCCTCTACTCTGGGGAAACAAACAACTATTTAGGACGCGTGGGGCACAGCAAGTGACTGGCACACGCGCAATCACACCGCAAGTGTTGCCCGCCCCAGCCATTGATATCTACGACATATTGCTGAGAGCATGTTCTTGGCCAGGATTTTGGCCGGATGCCTGGAGGAAACGGATGTATAGATCTAGGATGCTATGTGTACAATCCCTCTTGCAATGCGGAAGATCAGAGTACTGTCAGGTGCGTGCACTTGTGATGTCAGGTCTGCGGGTAGCTCGCTCTGTTGGTAGGGTTTTTTTGCATGGGCGAAGGCCACGCAACATCTACCCCATCTATTTACCCAGCCAGGCGTTACATCGTCTACCCAGCTCTTGTTTGGAGCTCACACACGCCATACTCCAGGGTTGAAAGAAGGAAGCTTCACAGCGGGTTTTCTCAGCGTGTGCTCGCCATCTGCATCTTCTGACTGCATACCGTAGACGCCGATTATTTTTGGCGATGTGAAACTAGCAGAGTCCGAGCATAATTTGATATCCTTCTGAGATGAGAGGCTGCTCCCCAGCAACAACACTCGCATGCCCAGAGTGTTTGGTTGGCTTTGCGGGCAGCCACAGGCCGCTTGGTTCCTCTCTGAAGCCAGATCGCGCCCGCTTCGCCCGTGCGGCTGCGTGCGTTGGTGGAAGTAATGCCACGCTGGGAGGCCATGAGCCCTTCAGGCAAGGGAGGTTGCTCTTCCTGCGCCCAAGAGCCCACCCGCCACCCTTTCAGTGGCGGGTAGCGCCTAACTTGGCCCGGCCTTCTGCGCCATTGCGTCTGGGCTCAGAGCAGGTGCAGACAAATTGGGTAGATCGCTGGTGTCTTGCGGCTGCGGGCCCATTGCCGCTTGGCTTGCGGAGGCGCTCCTTGCAAATTTGTGGAAAAAGCGCTCTTCTGAGGCGATTTGCCTTGCAGTCTTCTTGAGTATACGCGCCCCGCGTTTTGCCGCTGGGCAGCGTGTGGTGGCGTCCTGAGGGGATGTATTGGCGGACAAGGTCGTCTCGCAGCGAATGCCCTTCGGGGTTCGTTGCTTTGGCAGCAGCATTGCCAGCGGCAACGGTAGCCTTGGATGCTGACCTTTGGGACAAGCATCCCACAAGTGCTTCTTTGGCTGCAAGTGGGCGGACGACTGGTTCGCCAGGGCTTCTTCGTTTATTGTGCGCACGCTGCGCCGCTGGGATTGTCACCAGCTCTGTTTGGCGCTATGCGACTTGACCAGCCACTTTCTGAAACCTGCGATCTTCTGCAAGGTTGGGGCTTACGCTCCATGCCCAAGTGCCAGGTGAATTGGTGAGATGCACCGTGCAGTTGTTTTTTCGGCTACTTGGTGCTAAGTTGTCTTGCAGGCTGGGTGACCTGGGGCTTGCAAGAGAAGGCGCCCCCTAACATGTGCGTGCAAAAGCGCCTGGTTGAATGCGGCTGCCCAAGTGCAGTTTGCGGGGTTGGTAGCAGCAGACCAAGCCACTGCTGCCCGTACCTGGCCCACATCTTCCAACTGGATTGTTCCCCCAACACGGACATTGCCAGGTCATTGCCCATGGTTTTGCCGCAGCCCAAAGGCGCCAAGCAAGAACCCGCCAAACAGCAGCCCCAAGCACTTTTAATAGCAAAATAAGCAGGCTAAACCGCAACAAACTGAACTCCAAACTGCAGCGGTAAATATCCCCTAAACCCTAAAAACTCCACCAGCTAGAACTTGCTCTCGCATGTAACAGCCTCCTTTGCCTCATAAGCAGCCTGAACTTGTGGGCAACCTTCCTACGTTCCTTGCTGAATTCCGTTTCAAGTTGTGCGCGCCGGCGCTGGCCCGCCAGTCAAGGACAGCGACCTGGACCACGTGCGCTCGCTCTTCTGCGCGCAGGCACGGCATCGGCATAGTCTCGACTTGGGGCACGGATGGGTTTACTTGGTGGCTCCCAGCCATCCCCTTAGCTTCTTAGCTTTTTAGCTTTTTAGTGGGGATTTCCATTTAACCCACTAAAAGTTAAACTTTCAGCGGGGGATCTGAGGACAGCCTAGTTTAGTTTCAGCCTGTTTCCCCAAAATGCTGATTTTTTCTCGAGATCATTGCGCAATGAAGTCCCCTTCGAAGGCATCCTCTTCACAGACACTTGCTGCTTTCCAACCCCCAACCCTGAGTGTGATTCCTCCCCATAGGGACACCTCCCGCTCAGCAAAAGCAGATCGAGAACTTATCTCATTGACAGGATAGCACGAAGCCTGCAGTCCAAAAGCGCCGCTCTTCCAGCATCAATTCGTTCCCTCCCCTCCGAGCCTCAGGTGCCGGAGGCCTCGGTGTTGGGCATCTACCGGGTGGAGAACCCCACCTTGGCTCCTCAGCTGATGGGAGATGGGAGATGGGCCCAGGACCGGTTGACAGCTGCTCCACAAAAAAAAGATGCCCAAGGGTGGCCCTCGTGTGTTTGAATGCTTGAAAGCCTAGCGGGAAACAAACGGTGCATGGGGGAAGATGTTTATGGAGAGATGCCTCTGTGGAGCGGCAGGGAGTGCAGGGACAGACCCTAAAACATTCCTGGCGACCTTCGGAACCTCATGTTCAGGAGCCCAACAGAGACAACCATAGCAAGGGTCGCAAAGCTCTCACTGTGTGGCTGATTGATGACTGAATCTTTTCCTTTAGGTGGAGGGTGGGGATTTTCAATCAAGTAAAAAATCGTCAAGAAATTTGAAATGGCGGCTGCAAATGCCCCTTGGCTTGCCCGTGCCAATTGACGGCCTCTGGCAGAAACGCACCCGAGGAAGGGGTGTACTCAGCCGTCCGAGACGCCATGGGCACTGACTGCGAGCTACCTGGCAGCCTTTTTCGTGGCGTGTCAAAGCCAAAGATGTGGGAGGGTGCTGGTGAGCACTGCTTTCCGACAAATATAAGATGCAATCAAAGGGATGTGGAATAGTCCTTGTTTAGCCTGTGATCCTTCTGGGGCCTGTTGTTTTGAGGGATTCTTCTCGTTTTTGCTTTGAGGAAGGCCGGTATTGACCATTCCAAGTGGCAGCGTATGGCTTGAATGCTTCTGTGACCAGAGCACGTCTATCAGGCTGCTGACATTTTTGGTTGCATATGGAACAGTGTAAGATATTCCAACTGTATACGTATAAGGTCCTTATTTCTTTGCAGCCATGATCCACTCCCCAAAAACGTACCACTGTCATGCGATCACTGCGTCATGAGCGTCTAGGAAGCATCACTGTTCGGCAAGGCTGTGCCTCAGTTTTGGCAGAAACACCTATGAAGTCCTTTTCCAGGGGGATCAAGTCCCTGTTTCCAGTTGAGGAACTATTGTAAACTGTTCAAGGCCAAATACCAGATCGTCAATGTCGAAAGAGCTGCTGCTCGGATTCGGTTGGGATGGTCATCTTGGATTGCAGCGTTAATGGACTGATTGGCACACAATAGACGGCATATGGTTGGAAACGACTTCTGGCAAGCACCTGGCATAGTCGTTACCAACCTGTTTCACCGGATCCCATCCCGAGGTTGAACTTGTGGCATGGTACCTCCAATGAGCCGGAGCCCCAAAGCCCGGACAGCGGACGCAAGGCACCCCCACGTGGATCGTCCCTCAAGTTCCATGGAGACGTAAGACTTGAGCAAATCACCACAGTGTATATGCTTTGCATTTGTTTGGATTAGTATGCCTGCGAAGAGTAGCAGCTGTAAAAATCCTTGGTGAACCTTGGGTTCCGTGAGATCCAAAGGAAGTCAGGCAAAAGGTCCAATGTGTCAAGAGATTCAGCCAGCTTCAAGTCTGCAAGAGATTTCAATTGCAAACGCTTCGCGTTGCCCGCCTGTCCTTTGGTTTGCCTTGAAGTGTCGGCGCCGAAATTCGTGAGCTGGTTTCCAAGGTAGAGGGTGGGTGCATAAAACCGGTCAAATTCCCCTCTCGAAACCGGCCGAATTCCCCTTAAGCCGATCAAATTCCCCTCCAGAAACTATTCAAATCCCTCCTAAAAACTTGTCAAATCTCCTCTAAAGATAAGCCCAACTCCGGCCAAATCCCCTCGGAAACCGGCAAAATTAAATTCCCCCTCAGAAGCCAATCAAACTCCCTAGAAATTTGCACCTCCCAAGCCCACCCTTGAAGTGAAGTGGAAACGCGCGGACGGGAATTCGACCGGTTTCTAGAGGGGTTTGACTGCCCGGGGCGAGGCGTTTTGCTCAAAGACACGGTGCGTGACAATCAGGGCAAAGTGCTCAATTGCTTAGACAGTGTTTTCGGGCATGCAGCACATGTGATCGGGTTTTATCGCAGGCTGCTGTTTGTCGTCCCCCTATCCCTTTCTGTCCATGACTGCGCGGCCAGGTGTGGACAAGCATGCTAGTGCACCCCATGCGATTGAAATTCAGATCGCAATGGGGCGTAGCTCACAAAGGTTTGCCCTTTGGTGCTATTCATGACTTGTGTTCAGGTGCTCAGGCCTTCACACGAGTGAACGGGCAGATTAGCTCGGCATTTGTCAAGTCTCTTCTGCCTAGGTGCGTGCCCAACATTGTGCTGAACGGCTTCAACCGGGCCTATTCTGGCCGCCGACACGGCTGCAGCCTTGGTGCGTGCGTCGGCTTGCTTCCCCGCACACGCCGAAGCCGAACACCACTGCCACCTGCCACTTCGCCCAAATCATTTTTGCATCCATCCGAGTGTGTCTATACCCGTTGCCTGGCAGCCACATAGGTGCATCGGTGATGGCAATTGTGGGTGCACATGGATGTTGACCCTATTGCAGGAGAGAGTGCTACATCAAAGAGCTCTCATTTGTGGTGTTTGCCATGACTATATACCATACACCAAAAATAATATCTCTGAAGTCTTAGCTTCGAACCTCACGACCAAGCCCGCAACCCGCTTGTTGACTTGCGATGGAGCGGCAAGATCTGACCTGGTGGCAAATATTTGATGATATTTGCAGACATACACAGCATGACGTGAGCGCTGCCTGAGTTGAGCCATGTAGACTGGAGATGTTGTTGACCCAATTTGTAAAATCGCAAGTTTCTTCTTTAAGGTGTTCCTTGGCATTTCACTGTTCGATGTTTTTTGTTATATGTGCCAATGCCAAGCTGTTTTGGAGCAACGCGTGTTCCGGCCGAACAGCCCAGCGCGAGACACTCCACCCACAGTGCTTAAAACCTGGTAACGGGGTTTAGGGTTTAGCTCCGTGTCAGTCCTTAATCCTGAAAATTCAGGAATATTCGTAGCAGGACAGAACCCTTGGCACCTTGTGCCTCATGGACAAACAGCGCAGAGGTTGATTTGGGGCGGATGGTTGTCGTGCCTCGAAAGTACTGCGAGACAGACTGGTCCAATCAGTTATAAACCGGCAAAAAGGACAGCCTCTCCATTGGAAGACGTTCTGCGGATGATCTCTACGCGGCTCCACGCGAAGGAAGCCAAGCCCGCAGCGCAACAATCAAGTTCCTCAAAGACCACACCGGACATTATGTTCTCCAATGCTGCAGAAGCACAGAGTGCCCAACGAATCTTCAAAGACTTGATATGCGCACCAGAATGGCAGACTCTGAGTCTCCGGCGTTCATGTCTGATGTTCATTCAGTTTGCAGTTTGTTAGCGCTTGGACCTCTCACCTGCCGAAAGACAACCACGAAAGGACTTTGAGAATAGAACAAACCCTAAGTGAAGGATAGAAAGGGACGGTCCCAACCACAGGTAGGCGCCGCCGCCCTTTTGATATTTTTTTCTCGTATATCGTTCCGGTGAGTTGGACCCCGTGCATAGGTCCTGGTGACTCAAATGGTTTTCGGATTTCCGTTGCTCCCGCGATTGCCACGCCCAGGCACGAAGCTTGGACATGGCTCCTACTTCTCAGCCTCTGCTGCGTACAGTGACCCGGTCACTGCAAATGTCTTCGAATGGCAGCGCTAATGAAACGTTTGTGTGTTTGGCACTGGGGGGAATCCTTCAAATGTTGTTTTCTTCTGCTTGCAGATGACGCATCGTGGACTGGTTGAGAGCCCTTGCTAACCTCGGCGACGGGGTGTGGGGTCCGTTCGCAGGTACTCGCTTCTGCGACCGGAAGCGCTACCGGCGCACGATGTTCTTCTCCAAGGTCTTGGTGGGTGCCCGATCCCCAGCCAGAGCTCCCGGAGCTCAGAACTTCTCGGTCGGTCAAACCTGACTGCCATAGGGTCCGTGTCTGAAGTCCATTTCATGTTTGGGTTGCTTGTTGTGTGTCCACGTTTCCTGTGGAGTTGGTGTTGCTTTTGGCCACAACAAGTCCTGTGAGTGTCCTCTTGGCTAACTTAGGTTTCTTTTCTTTCAGATTCCATAAACAAGCGCGCGCTCCCCAAGATATAGCCGATATAGCCCCGCTTCCGAAAGGGGCTTTCCCAAAGGTCATGTCAATTCAGCACTGTCAATATGTTGCATCCAACTTTGACTCAAGTGAAACTTCACTTTGTGGGACGGGTACCCGGCATGCCCTATGGGACTGGCGTTTGCCTTGTCTCTTGAGGGAGATGAAGGGGACCTTTGGGTTTCTGTTTGTCTAAAGGGGTCAAAGGCAAGCGGTGGGACCTCGGTGACCTTTCTCTCATACAAGGCACTGACCTGCCAAATCACATCACACACACTATTTGAGCATACATGGAAACAGCCAAAGTTTCGAAATGTCAACTGCGCACCTTCTCTGTGCCAGCTTCCCAAGCCATTGCACTCTTCAGAGCAACTCTGTCTTTCCACGCAACTGACAGAGCCGAAGCTGATCTTATGCCACTCAAATCTCGCCATGCGCAGTGCCCTGCCACGTTTTTGACGCCCGTCGCCCCGTGAGGCCTGGGCCAAGGGAAGCCCTGACATGGTGGAGCCGGGGATGCCAGGGATCGCCCCGGCAAAAGCCATGGGAAGCGGAGGAGGTTGTTTTTCTTCTTCTTTTTCGGGCGGGCGCTTCAGTCAGTCAGTTCGGTCCAATTGAAGCCAAAGCACTGCAGTGAAAGCGACACTTTCTGCGAAACCTGAATCAAAGCAAATGGGGGACATTTTCTGTAGCAATGCTTTGTTAGTTTGGCTTCCTGCTACAGCCACGTGAGGATCAAGTAAGAAACTAGGTGTCTCTTTGCCATGGGCCGATGGACATCAGCTCTTTTGTTGTTGTGATCACACGTCTTGCCAAGTGAAGTCGAATCTGATTCCCTCAGGGCCGAACCCCTTTGAGGCAGGCTGCCGGGCCAACTCAAGCTGCATTTTGCGTCCCATGACTCCCCGCCTTGCTTTGACATTTGGATCTCTGGCCAAAAAGAGCGATGCCTTGCCTAGCCAGGCTTATGCAGCGACATGCCTGTTGTTAGAATGTTGCATGGCTTTGGTAACAAGTGACAATGGTTTCAGAGGGACGCCGAGTCCTTAGGACATGGTGAAGCTGTGCTTGTGCTTCTCTTAAGCTTCTAATCTTGAGGATGGTCAAAAAGTTCCTGCTGGTTTGATGACCATCCCTAAGCCCTAAGCCTAGCTCAAAGGATTGACTGGTAGGTGGTCCTTTGGGCGGGCCAGATGTGGGAAGCACTTCTGGCTGAGGCCACCCTGCAAAGATCTGGACGGCTTGGTACGCCAGGATCTCGGGGCAGACTGAATGAACGTGCCTTGGACCATTCACTCTGTACGGACTTGGAAAGATTTTAATGCGGATACATGATGAATACTCCCCACAGCTTATTCATCATGGGGTCCCTTTTGTCGTGGCAGTTCCTTCCCTCCAGGCCAATCCCCCCGATGAATCGCCTGGGGACGCTGATAAGGGTCAACATTGGAAGATTTGCATGAGGCAACAAGCCACAGGCACCCCAAATGAAAGGATTGGTGTCTTTCATTCCTGATGCCTTTGCATAATGCTTGGCGCCGCTTGACCTCTTGACTTTCATGTTCCAAGCTCTGCAGACAGGAACCAAGCAAGGACTTTTCAAGTCATATGCACCACCCGCCTCCTTTGGGAGAGGTAAGTGGCTCCCGCGATCCGAGCTTTCTCAAAAAGCAAATCCCACGCTAGCCGCTGGGCCATGGTTCCGGACCCGACGGTAAATCAAACCGAAGGTCGCTTAGCTTGCCGGACTTGCTCCCGGACCGGGTTCGCTTGTCTTTGGAGGGTTCATCCAAGCCACCAAATTTCAGGTTCTAAGCACCTGAAAATCTGACTTGCAGCGCTTGCGGGGTTGTCAAACGCCCCACCGGGGGATCCAAAGCAATTCCTTGGACGGCGCGTTCCGCACGCCGCAAGACGGGCGAGGTTTCGACTGCACGGTGGACGACTTGGAATGCCCAGTGAACTTCTGCATCTTCCGAGACTTCCAGGCACCAGCCTCTGCGAAACGTCAAGGTTTGGCTTGACCGCAGAGAAAATATCGCTTGGAATCCCTTGAGTAAAGAGCTCCTTTTCAAGTTGAGACAAAGCCGAGTGATTGAAAGCTTTGGATATCAGAGGTTGGACCATGTTGAACGTCTGAGCGCTGTTCACATGAAGACACTGCGACTCTCTTTGCGACGGTAAAGTCATGACTTAGGCTGCAAGAGCCTTCCAGCAAAAAGAACATGTACCAAGCTCCAGTATCCAGATTCGGTGCAAAGCTGGCGTGATGTGCTTGGGTCCGAAAAGGCATGCAGAATGTGCCCCTGAGCCACTTACGCGCAAGATTCATTTGACTGAGATCCAGGCCTTGCAGCTTCTGCGCAGGCCATGCCAACGTATCTGCTGGAATTCACCACCTAGCACTCGGGGCCCGGAACCCTGGCGTGCCACAAGACGTCTCAAGGGCTGCGAGATGTTTGCAAGACACTTGGAGCTGAACATGGGGTGTTCGATTCATACCGATCCATACCGATCCATACCAACCATGCCCAGAATTGCTAGTGCTGAACCGTTGGATTGCCCCGCGGATTTGGACGTGGCCCATTGCGTGAGAGAAGCAAGACCACCTGAGCACCTAGTTACCCACATCCACTGCTGACATACGAATGTGTCACTAGATACTTGTATTTCTTGTTCATCGTTGACATCTACACAAAGTGTTCATTAAAAGAAGTTTAGAATGGGAACTTGCTAAGTACTGGAACCAATTGAGCTAGCTCTCTCCAAGAATGCAGCCCTTGCACGTGATCATCAAAGACTAGATGCACTGCAAGTGAAACAGGCACGAAAAAGCTGCAAAACGCGAAAGAAGAGCAGGAGAAGAGAGAGCCAGAGACAGAGAGAGAGGAAGACAATGGGAAAGAGAAAGACAAGGATATGGAGAAGGAGAAAGAAGGAGAGAAAGAAGAAACACAAGTAAAAAAGAGAAAGAGAAACAAGGAGAGAGAGAGAGAGAACACACAAAAACAATTAGAGAAAGATAAAGTTAAAGTGAAAGAGAAAGAGGAAGACAAAGGGGAGGAGGCAGAGAGCGAGAGAGAGAAAGAGAATGGGAAAGGGAAAGAGAAAGAGAAAGATAGCAAGAAAGAGAAAGAGAAAGAGGAGGAGGAGGAGGAAGAGAAAGATGAAGAGAAGCGAGACAAAGAAAGATAAACAGAAAGATAAATAAGAAGAGAAAGATAAATAGAAAGACAAGGGGAAAACAAGCGTGCTCCAACATTTGGAAACCTCCGCCCCCCCCCCCCACCCCGCTCATCGGTGTTACCTGTATTCAGATGTATTTGACACCATCAGCCTCCATGTCAAAGATCAGAGCACCCATCAGGCTACTACAGAAGTTCGCTCTTGCTGTTGGTTGCAGGCAGGGGGCCTTTCACGCAACCCGATTGCAGGAATTCACGCGCAGTGGGCCGCGGCATTCTTTTGCATTGGCTAGTTTCCTTGAGCCTGCGTGCCGCGTGAAGGTTTTCGACAAGGAGCCGCTTAACCACCACCATGCTGCAACTAGATGAATGGGATGGTAAAGTCATCGCAAACGCAGTCTGCTGCACATGCTGGGCCTCTTTGGCCCAAATCAGCTCAACCCCCTTTCTTTCGATCAGTTCTGGCAGCAGATAGGCAAATATTGCAAGTGAAATCGACCCCTGCAAAAGCAATTCAATGGTTCAGTTGCTCGAATATTTGAATTGGAACTTGATTCGACCTTGGCAGTTCAAGGTTGTGGCAAAATATAGTCTCCATACTTTGGTCGAGCCACAGTTGGAGGAGCTTCCCGCGCAGGCGAAACCCCGCACTGAATGCGCCGGCTGCATGCAGCTGACATACGACAACGCCACGTAGCGGAGATTAAGCATGTATGCTTTTTCAGTGAATGGACCTCCCAGCAAAAAATATGAATCTAGACCCTTCCCCACTGTCAAAAAGTGTGTCACGGTTTTCTCAAAGACTTCCTCATTTGCCCAAGAACGAAAACCCAGCGTTGAACAAAATAGCCTGACAGAGCATTCAGTTCTCATGTTCACTCCGGCAGGACATGCCTGATAATTGTTTAGGTGGAGCTGCAAGCCTGCGAGGAATCACTTTTTGGTCAACGTTTGGCAACATCTTGCAGCTTCGCCCTTTGCTTCATGATGACAGTAGAAAAGATGTCAATCCTCGGCTGAGGGATAAAAACTATCAATTCTGACCAAGCAAGGCCTCGTCCAGAGGTGAAGTGCCAACCAGAGCTACAAAGGTCAGTCGTTTGTGTCGACCATTTGTGTTTGTGTAGTCGCCGTCTCTGGACTGGGCAGGTACCAAGACTCAAGCGTTGATTTCTATGCGAGGCGTTGTCCAACTAACAAATGCCGGGCCGGCAGGGGCCCGACAATCGCCACAACGCGGCTTAGAGATCTATTCGGTGTTAGCCTGACTCTGCCGTGGATTTCAACAAGTGTGGCGATTCTTTCTTGTTCATGGTTGCACATGATGTTTTCACGCATACATCAGCCATTGATGGACGATCCAGTCACGTTTCAGCCAATCGCAATTTGTGTTTGGAGGTGTTTTCCGGTCCAATTGGCTTTCAAGCCGGCGACATGTTTGTTTGGCGACCCCAAGGAGGGATGCAACGAGGCGTCTGGCTGCGATCGCAGATATCCAGACAGAATCCAGGTCGTGCAGATAAACATTGCATTGCTTCGACTCGCCTGCAAAAGCATCCCAGACATGGCTTGCCGCTGGCCGGCAAGTAGAACCGGAGCTTGTGCTGGGCTGGCCTCACAGATGTGTGTCGGCTTGCCACAACCCATCCAAGCTTTGTGCCTCTATTTGAGAAGTGTGGCCTGTCGATTCCGAATGTTTTCCTTGCACGCAGATCAACCCTTGCTCAAACAGTCTTGCATGTGAGTCAAGGCTACAGCTGGATGACTAATGGCCAAATCAGCAAATCTGCATCTATGTTGCTGTCAGTTTTGCAGTTGGAGTTGCCGGTGGCTCAGCATGCCATTGAGCCGCCAGCGCCCAGACTGAACACGCCTTGCAATTCCCCCGACTCACGGAGCAGGCCGGCAGGTTGGAACTGGAAGTCGCAGTCAGACTTGCGAAGTTTTCGCTGGAGCCAGGCAACTCCTTATCCTTTTGCCAAGGATGAGGCAATCAGTCAGTTTCAGCGGAAACAACGCGGCGGTGAGAGCGCAATGGCTCCGCCTGTGAACAGCCTGGCCTAGGCATGCCCGACTGGAGGGTGTGAGGGCTCAAGGGAAGGAGTTTGGACGCTTGAAGACAGAATGGGAAATGGCTCAACTTTCTGTAGGGCCGAAAAGAATTGGTTGTTGAGCCTCATGGAGTGGGTGCTTACAGCCCTTTCCGTCCCTTTTCACGCTTTCCAAGCTGAATCCGCGAGGCTGTGAGAGCTGGTGCTCGGGGACTGTGGGTGTGATACTTTGAGGTGTTGAAACTTTCGAAGTTTTGCCCCTTGCACTCGGCCGGAACCATTGCAAGCGATGAGTTTGGAGGCTTTCACGGTTCTGACATGTGAAGCTCGCTGAGCCTGGCGAGTGAGAACTCATGCACGTTCTGAATGTGCCGCAAAGCGCGAGTTCACGTTGTCGGGCGGCCATCCGTTCCAGGCGATGTTCCCGGGACGGCCATGGAACGCAGGCAGGCCGCAAGCCGCAAGCCGCAAGACGAGAGAATTGGGAGGGGCAGATTCGGAAACGAACAACGAAGATCATATGGTTTGCTGGTCGTCAAGATACAGGTCCGGGCCAAAATGGCAACTGCCACACCTAGCGCGACAAATGCGCATGTTCTGTATAGGTTACCCATATCATTCCATTCGCTGCATCTCCATCCTCAAAGGAATGGCAACTTTGCTTCCAGGGCTGGTCATTTAGTGTGAGGTGTTTCGGGGTGGCGCGGTGCTGGATGGCGGCCAGTCACAGCTTTTTTGGGGGTCATTTCATGGGGCATGATGGGTGGCTTGCCTTTAGTTTCCATCTAGGAATTAATTACAACAAAACGGGCACCCTCCAACAAATCAAAGGTAATATGTAGCAAGAAGAACACAATGACTCCTGGCCCGCTTTGGTTAGGGTTAGGTGCTGCGCATGCCTTCCAGGCAGCATTCACACGTAAGCTTCGCTATCATGTGTTGGTCTCCAGACTTGCCACAGACATGTAAACGAGGGTGCTCTCCATGGTGTTCCTTGGTTGTTGGGACACTGACCATAGCTCAAAATGCATGAGCAGAATGTATCGCACAAGCAGGATTGAAATGGGATGCCCATGATCTTAAAGTGTGTCCGAGCAAGAGAAAAGACAAGGGACTCTCGGAGCTCGAAGACTGTGGCTGCACGGTTACATGAGCGCAGTCAAACAGTTGGTGGCTCTTTAAGTTCTAAGTTAAGGGTTGATAGGCAGGTTGCGCGGCCTCGTGTTTGCCGCCATGGCCAGGCGGAGCGTCGTATCCCAACTTTTACGGCACATACCCAGCTGCAACGGCAGCGGCTGCAGTGCCCACTGCACCAACTGCACCAACTGCACCAGCTGCGGCTTATGGCTACCAATACGGGCAGGTGCGGGTGCCCGTGGTGCCGCTGCCGCATTTGCCGGCACCGCTTCTGCACTCAGCACATCTGCCAGGGCTTTCCGTGCCCGGGCTCAGGCTGCCCATGCACCCTCACCCGGGGCTTGGGCACGTCCCTGGCTTGGCCCAGCACGCGATCCCGGCGCAAGCCACGGCGATCCCGCAGAACATCCCGCCTCCCAGTGCCAAAGAACGCACCTTCGAGGCCAAAGACGAGCCAGGCGCCCAATGTAGGGTTTCCTGAGCGGTGGTCGCCACTTTGCTGGTCTTATCTTCCGCACCACAAGGCCAAAGCCCAAAAAGCTTGACGCAGATTTTCGGGCTTCAAACTATGGATGAGATGTCGTAGCTATGTTCACGCACATGCATCTATGTGTATCAAGACATGCACGACACTGGCGGTTTTCGCAGGCAAACACAGCTGCGACCAAAGCCAATGGTTATGCCGTGTTCAAGGCACATGCAACGGCACCATCTAGCCTGAACCTTTGTGCATCTGCCAGAGCATGAGATCGGCTGCCTCAGCCATTTCAGTGCAAGCACAAAACGCGTTTCTTGCTTCCGAGTCATGGCAGTCTTCGTGAACGGCTTTGACTTCGACACGCCTGAGAGCACACTGCACTCCCATTTTTCCTCGGTGGGGTCTATCAAGGACGTGCGTTTCCTTGGCAAGGGCAGTGCAGTGGTGGAGTATGATAGCTTTGACGATGCCGAACGAGCGGTTGAGGAACTCAACAACTCGACCATGGAAGGCAACCGACGATATGTGACCGTGAGGCTTGACGGCAAGGGCAAAGGTAAGGGCAAGGAGAACGGAAAGGGAAAGGACTACGGCAAGGGAAAGGACTACGGCAAGTACGGCAAGGGCCAGGAGATCGGCAAAGGCAGTTCTGACAAGGGCAAGTCCCGCCAGGACATGGATGGAAAAGTAAGGAGCCAGTTCACACGGTTAACACAGTTTGAAACTCCCCTGTGCTCTTTGCCACAAACGCCAGAAGAGAAAGCTTGAGAAAGCGGTCGCCCACGCAAACAGCACGCTTTCCGGAGCGGCTTTCCGAAAAAAATACCGGGCCAAATTTCGGGGAAATTTGGGGACCTGTCCGAGTCGAAATTTCTCGAAAATTTCGTGCCGGGTGTCTCCGTATCCTTGCCTCTCTCTGTGTCTCCCAGTCTGTTTCCGTGTGTCCCAATCTGTTTCCGTGTGTCCGTATCTTCGAGGAGCCCGCCTACTTCGACGGCGAGTTGCTGAGCGGAACCGTGGCCAAGTTCATGGATGAGCAGGGCTTCGGCGTCCTGGCTCGATTTCTGTCACCCTCCATGCCAGTGCAACATCGCCATGGGGACATGATTTGCAAAGGGGGCCCTGCCCACTTCCAGGTTCATTGGTGGAAAGGCAGCCCTGAAATGTCAATCACTCCTACCCAGATTTTAGCCCTCATGTTGTTTGAACGTGTAGGATTACGTAGTATGTCATGTGACCGTTTGGGCGAGTGTGCCTTCTCCAATTGAACTTCAGCGCGTTGCGTTGGCCATTGAAGCGAACCTGCAGGAACAGGTTGCATTTTGAAGGTCGATTCTTGCGTGATGAGGTTCATGGAGCTACTTTCCATTTCACTGAGATGTGCATTCACACAATCTTGAGGGTGTTTTGACATAGGGGGTGATCCAGAAATCCCATGTTGCATTTTTGAACGGGGCCTAGATAAAATGTGTCCATGAAGTGTGTTCATCATGTGTCCCGTGCTTAGGACACACGACTTTATTGCAAAGGATCCGGCAAATGTTTCCTGAGCCGTGTTTCCTGCAGCCTTCAGAGGCCCCACTGCAACTGGGGCATGGGTCAAATTAGTGGGGCTATGAAGCGAACTGCTGCCACCATCAACCATTTGGGGCACCGACCATTGGAAGGACTGTGCAGATGTTGGAGACAACATCATGGCCTCACGATGTCCCACGATTCAGCCCGCAACTGTGTTCCCCATCGTCCACTGGCAAACCAAAGCACTTCAAGATACTTCAAGGCTGTTTAGTCCAGGCAACACGCCCCTTTGATAGGCGCGAAGACCCTCTGGAACCGGCCCAAAGCTTCCGCAGGGTTCATCTCGCCGGACAATGGCAACCAAGACGTCTACGTGCACTTCACCGCCATCACGGGCTCTGGCTATCGCAGCTCGGCGCATTTGAAGACCTTTCGACGCACCCCTCAAACTGACCCTTCCGTGCTATCTTGGGGCCAGAATGGAGGGCAATGGTTAAGTATGGGCCGCCAATTTTGAGTTGCTCTATCGGCGACTTGGGGCATCAGAGCCATCCGAAAAGCGACCTATGCAAACGGGCCTGTTGTCTTCGCTGCAAGGCACCTCGGAGACTGCTTTCGCTGAGCCCAGAAGTAGTGTAGGAATTCCCTGGACTGCCATTCTCGAGTACGTTGGACTCCATTGGAGGTTTCTTCATGGTTGGTAGAGGATCAGCGGGGAATTGCCCCTAAACCGCTTGTTTGTTCACCCCAATCAAGTTTTATGGTGTCTGTTTGGTTGAATACACGGGTGGATCGGTACCTAATGCATCCGCGATTTGAGGCACACTCAGAGCTGGGCAGGCTGTGAGCTACGGCCTGGGAGCGGATGCCAAAGGCAAAGGCAAGGGCAAGGGCAAGGCGGTCTACGTTGAGCCTCACTGAGCTCCGTTCGCAGACGTGCTGTGTTAATGTCCCACGGTTGTCCGAGAGATTTTGTTGGCAACATATCTTATAGAAGAGCAGATTTGTGCCTGTTCAACTTCTTAAACTTCAGGATGCATTGTGGTTTGCTTGTGACAATACAAAGAAGGGAGCAAGCACTAGCATGGCTGCCTTGATGTTGAGGGGTGATAAGGAATGCGAATTCATCACATTTTTGAGGCAGCATGAGTCAACACGTGCTGTACAGCGTTTTTGCTGTGATTTGCGTAGTTGTGCAGCAGATGAAGTGGAGTTGCCAGATGAGCCGGGTTTTGTTCTGTGCGCACACGTGAGTCGTTTGCTCGATGTTCTATCGGCATGTATGGCAATTCTGGCTCCTTCAAATTGCATGCCTTTACTTTGAACCACTTCCCAATGTGAGAGAGTACCCTCAGCATGTTTGCTGGCATTTATTGGGAAGCGGCAAAGAGCGTCAAGGTTGCGTCAAGGCTCGCTGACGTGAAGAAATGAAGACGACTAGGAAGTCATCAATCACAATAGCCAGACACCCGAGCTGGACGTGAGTGTTGGAATTTCATCCGCAAAACACTCGAAGCTCCCAAAATAGTGGGGGCTGCTTCCGTGTTGTCCTGCTTCCTATCAAACATGGCAGGTCACGATTGCTCAAATTGAAGGACGTTGAGAGAACCGGATAGCAACGGCGCGATGCAGAGACAGCGCAGAATTTCCAGGTTTAGTACTGTTGCCCACTCGCTGGTTTGCACGGAGCCCGAAAAAGGTCAACTTGCTCAATTCATCTCAATTCTTAGTCATCAAGCCCAGAGTACTTTGCAGGTGCCAGTGAGCCTTGATGCTGAGGGGTGATAAGGAATAGGAATTCGTCACGTTTTTGAGGCAGCATGAGTCAGCAAGTGCTGTACAGAGGTTTGGCTGTGCTTTGCGCAGTTTTTGCAGAGGCGGAGTCCGGTGCCAGCTCCAGTTCCCACTGCACCGACTGCACCGTGCTACCAAGATGGGTGGGTTGGCAGGTTGGCAGGTTGGCAGGTCGGCAGGTCGGCAGGTTGGCAGGTTGGCAGGTTGGCAGGTTGGCAGGTTGGCAGGTTGGCAGGTGCATGTGCCCCAGGTGGTGACGCCACATTGGCCGGCACCTGCCGAACGCTTCCAGGATACCCTGGGCTCCCCGAGCACCCCGGGCTCCCCGGGCCCCAGGCTTTCCGGGCTCCCCGAGCACCCGGCGCACGTCCCCCACGCCACCGGTGAACATTCCGGTGCCAGGCCAAAGAACGCGTCGAGGCTTTCGAAACGACAGCGGCGAATGGGCTGGTTCAGTGTCAGCGTTGGGAAGTGTTGGTGCACAGGTATTGCCATCCGCATGGGAGCAGTATGCTGATCTTATTTTGACTTGTGCACCACAGTGCCCACGATCGAAAAGCTCGGAACGGGAGGCAACTCTGCCAGAGTTGCTTGCCACATGGATTTATATCCTATTATGGAAATGCCGTCTGCGAGTGGAAAAAGGCGCCTTTGGGGTGTTGCTGCGTTTCTTCCCGACTTGCGACTGTGGGGAGAATTCTTGCAGTCCCGTCATTTTATTATGGCATACATGGCTAAATGTACTTGCACAGATAGATATGAAAAGCAAACCAACATGTATCTATGTGTATCAAGACATACATGCACGCCACCTTTGTGCATCTAGCGGAGCATGAGATCGGCTGCCTCAGCCATTTCAGTGCAAGCACAAAACGCGTTTCTTGCAGCATCCCAGTCATGGCAGTCTTCGTGAACGGCTTTGACTTCGACACGCCTGAGAGCACACTGCACTCCCATTTTTCCTCGGTAGGATCTATCAAGGACGTGCGTTTCCTTGGCAAGGGCAGTGCGGTGGTGGAGTATGATAGCATTGACGATGCCGAACAAGCGGTTGAGGAACTCAACAACTCGACCATGGAAGGCAACCGACGATATGTGACCGTGAGGCTTGACGGCAAGGGCAAAGGCAAGGGCAAGGAGAACGGAAAGGGAAAGGACTACGGCAAGGGAAAGGACTTTGGCAAGTACGGCAAGGGCCAGGAGATCGGCAAAGGCAGGTCTGACAAGGGCAAGTCCAGCAAGAGCCAGGACATGGATGGAAAAGTAAGGTGCCGGTTCGCACGGTTAACACAGTTTGAAACTCCCCTGTGCTCGGCTGTCCCCGAGTTTGCCCCAAACACCAGAAGAGAAAGCTTGAGAAAGCGGTCGCCCACGCAAGCAGCACGCCAACTCGAGGAGCCCGCCTACTTCGACGGCGAGTTGCTGAGCGGAACCGTGGCCAAGTTCATGGATGAGCAGGGCTTCGGCGTCCTGGCTCGATTTCTGTCACCCTATGCCAGTGGAACATCGCCATGGGGGCATGATTTGCAAAGGGGGCCCTGCCCACTTCCAGGTTCATTGGTGGAAAGGCAGCCCTGAAATGTCAATCACTCCTACCCAGATTTTAGCCCTCATGTTGTTTGAACGTGTAGGATTACGTAGTATGTGATGTGACCGTTTGGGC